TGCCCAGAATTAAGTCAAAGGGAAGGTTTTTCTCGAGAAGAAAAGATACCTCGTGTAGAATTTTCTTACCTTCTTGTGTGCGAAACCAACATTTGACACGATCAACGTATTGCGAGATGGTAATCGTGCTTTTGCCCGCAAGAACAGACGTGATAGGTCGAGACAAAGTTTTCACCTTCATTCCGAGATGTAACTTACGAATCGCCTTCTCGGAAATGTAGGATCGCGTGGATCCCGAGTCTAGTAGTGCACCTACGCGTGTGTGTGCAATCTCTACATCCGCGAGTAGTAGTTCACCCTTAGACTTCGCTTTCTTAGCGCACGAGCTTCGTAGTGCCAGCAACTCGTTACCAAGCTCGTCAAGAGAGTCGTCAAGAGAGTCGTCCAGAGAGACAGAACATAAGACAGTTTTAGGGTGTTCTGGACGATGGGCCGAAGAAGAACCATTCTCTGCTGTGCGAGTCGAAGGGTTGGAAGGGTTAGTCGGCGCCTTACCTTCAATCTGGTCCAAACCCTTAGACTCGGTAGGAGCAGATGCTACTCCTAGTGGCTGCTCCCTTTTAGGTTTTTATTTCGAATGAGTGGGCATCACGCAATTACGTGCCCAGCAACGCCGCACTTCAGACACTGCACATTGTTCATTCTTTCTTGCCAAGTGTCTTGTGTCATTCCCATTTTCTCCCAAGGCTTCCCTGCCGCAATGCCGGGATGCTCGGGAAAGGAGTGTGGTCTCTTCTTCTTTCCTGATGGTCGTGGTCCTCCCTTGTTGACCACGGCAGTAGTGACTTCCCCCTTCTCGGAATCACTGCTGTTTGCCACACCCTCGGCCTCCAGTGGCCACCTTTCCACAGTTTCGTCGTCAAAGACGACAAGGGTGTGGTCCTGGCGCTTTTGGCGCCAAAGTACACGCTTTCCTGTTCCTGCACCACCACCATACTTAACAATAGATGCATAAGAGTTCTTGACCTGAGATTTCATTTGCTCTCGTTGGAGAGCCAAATCCTGAAATTGCCTGTAATTATACTTACCTGATTTGGACTCCGCCACGAGCTGTCCGCGAATAGGCTCGGGCAGAGCACGGGAGTAAATATACAAGATTTGGTTGTCTTGCACGTTCAATCCTGGAACCCGCAACAACCAGTCAACCTCCCTTGACAGAGACTCTGCTGAGGTCCAGTGCTTTTGACCAATGGAGGTGAGCTGGTCAAAGGCCTTATAGGCGGTGGTCTTATCCAAGAAGCGTTCCTTGATCTTTGCAAGGAACTTCTTCAAGGTCAAAGTACCAGCCCACTCACCGATGTCTTCAAACCCTGCGGCATTAGCCTCCGCCAGTACCCATTCTTTCGCTTCCCCTCCCAAGCAAGACGTTGAGAAAGCAACTTGAAATGGTTCCTCGACAGGGGCTGTTCCAACGTAGGTTTGAATCTCAGCTATCCACAAAAGCAAGTTTTCGTCTTTTTTATTGCAGAAAGTAAAAGGCAATTTCATTTTGATTTTCTCTCTTCTTTTCGGTTTCTCAGGTTGTGAGGTGGGGTCCTTTCCTTTGGGAGAATTTGGTGGTCCCGAGCGTGGACTCGAAGGCGAACTTGAAAGCGGACTCGAAGGTTCCCCTTTCCTTTCTTCGGGCTTCGTATCACCCCTGCCACGTCAGTAACCAATCAATAGGTGGGGTGCCACGTCAGCAACTCTGATCTGTCTTCTGCCACAACCTTAGTTCGTTGAGCACTCAAGTTCTCATTGCCACGTCAGCAGGAGAGCACTCATCGCAAACACGGCGGCCCTCTACTGCCACGTCAGCAGGATTTCCAGCCAGTTACAATGGTGCCACGTCAGCCTATCAATAATGCTGCGTCAACAAGGATCACCTCTGCACCAGATAAGTGTGTAATCCCTTTGTTGCCACGTCAGCATCAATCATCAAGCCACGTCAGCATCTGAAGGGATCTGCTTGCTTGTCAGTGTCGCAGCATTATCCAAACTGCCACGTCAGCATCTGGTTCTCTGGTCCTGCCACCTCGGATTCACCTTCGTCTTCTTCTTCAGCACGCGCGTTTCTTCATCAAAGGATGCGCGGTCGGCTGTCTAGATCGCGTTGATAAACGCGTGCGACAACACGGTCGCACCGAGCCTCGTCACCCCCAACTTACCTGGCGCCAGCCTGGCGCGCGCTTGTGAGGTCTTCGTCATCAACTTCGTTATCTTCGTCGTCGTACTTCGATCAGGAGTACTGCTCCGATACCAAATTGTAATGAACCCAAGTTGTGATGACACTCGTTGCTAATGCAAGTCCACAAGTCGTCAACCAGCTGATGAAATATAAATAGTTGAAATCATTACCAGATACAAAGAGATGGATAATCATACACAGACGAATAAGCAAGAGGTTGGGAAAGTAGACTTAAGAGGGTGGAAAAGAATGTTGCGCCCTCTTCTACTTTGGGCTGTCTTCCCAATGTCGCCACCTCAGCAACAATGATCAGAACGATATCTGAAGTTCTCCTCAATGTGCCATGTGGCACGTCAATAAGTCAATCATCAACGCTGGAGCATCATCAACCTCAAGATAAACAGGTACGTATCTTTGATCCTCCCACAGTCATGATCCCCTCTTGAACACGACGAATCAGAACAGCTGTATCGCTCCAATGTAGCCGCCACATCAGCATTGAATACACGTGGCAGCGGCCATGTCAGCAGCAACGCGTGGCAGCTGCCACGTCAGCATACCAAGTAGAATAGAGCAAGCCAGCCACCATGCTTGGCGAGCGGCGCGTCATTGTATCTTGCAAGTGCCAGTCAAAAACTAGCATACAGCCAACGTCTCGGCATAGAGCCAGCGTCGTCGTCAAAGCAGAAAGTCAGCATTGATGCAAGACTGAATGAATGTCAATGCCGGGAAGTCAGCTCTTATATATTGTTGACTCGGGGGCTAGGCCCCGGATGCTGCCTCCCTCAGTCGTCCAGATCTCAATGCGGACGAGGGCTCAGATTATTCTGAAACCGAATCCTCTTCGGCCAAGATGCTGTCTTGGTACCTGCACACCACAAGTGAGTGTATCCAGACAAGGGCCAGGGCCTGGTACCTTCGACTCTACAGTGGACTTTGACTTTTGAATTTCCACACGCAGCGTTCGGTCTCACAGCCGGACGCAGCGATATGTGGCCTGGGCAGTGCCTGGTCACACAGCCCAACACAGGATAGTAAAGTTTTGCGTGGCCTGGGGCGGGTCTGAGCCCCGTACAACCCTTGCTGCACACGAGTTACCGCAAGGAGATGGAAAGATTGAAGGAGGAGGAGGAAGAGAAGATGAAGGAAGTGGAAGAGGAGATGAAGAAGTAGAAAAAGTTGAACCTTTGCTCAGAAGGAGTGCAGAGCAGAGAGGCAAAACTAGCGCCAAGAAGAAGGACGCATCATGGTTGGAGAAGAAGGTGTCGGAGTGGGTAGCTAATTTATCTCTGGGAGAAGAGGAAGAGGCCATGTTATATGTTCCCCCAGAGGAGAAAGTAGTCGTAATCAGGGAGTGGGAAGCGGAAAAAGACCCTCTGAGACGTCAGACCTTAGAGGAGGAAAAAAAGTTGGAATGGAAACTGCGTCTCACAAGGGAAAAAAAGAGAAGGATGGAGGAGGCAAACAAGGTGGCGAGGGAGTTGGAGGTGATAAAGGCGCAGAGGGAGGAGCTTCAGGCGCAAGAAGATATATAGGGAAAGTTTGATGTTATTTCAAGAAACATAGAACTCCTCGCCAGAGCCTGGGACGAGCAACACCAGTTCTTTAGAGCCCAGGACATCGCCTTGCACTCCATCTGCCTGAGATTTAGGGATTTTGCATGTGAGATGATGCTGCATGTATGTGCAAAAGTGCAGGCGAGAATAGAGGGCACTGAGAAGTTTTGCACAGGCGCCATTGAGGGTGCAAAGCTGGCCGTGTCGAAGGAGGAAGAGCCACGCCCCCGTAGAGAGCCCGTTTAGATAAAGTTTCCAGAGTCCTACGACGGGAAGAAAGAAGAAAATTTTGATAATTGGGAGGCCAACGTAAATACATACAATTATTTACAACATATCGTGCCAGAGGAACAAGTCCTCATAGCCTTCCAGGCCCTCAGGGATGCGGCCGCCAGCTTCGTTGGATCACTCGCTCGCGCTGCACAGTGTGAGAATAACATGGTCGCTTATTCTAAGGTCACCCCTCTCCCTGAGTTCTTTCGGCTCCTTAAGGAGCGATTAGCAGATGTCACGCGAGGCGTTAGGGCCTATGACAAACTGCAGACTATCCACTCACGCCAGTGGAGAAGTGCCAGAGCACTCAAAGGCGCTGATGTGCCATAGCCTGTTGAAGAGAACTTGCATCTGAACTGTGTTCTTGATTTCCATATCTCTAAGCTTTGAGTGGGCGTCCTGCGCCAGTGTGAATCTCCATCTGTTTGCATGTGTGCGAAGTGGAAAGAAAGCGAGTCTGATTGCATGTGGAGGGTCGTTGAGAAAATGTGAGGAAGTTGTCTGAACGACTTGGGTTGTCCAACATTTGAATTTCACTTTGGATGATCAGTTCTAATAATGGAGGGGTGTAGGGCGTTTGTATAACTGGCCCTGAAGTGGATGATCAGGTCCCCTCATGATGTGGGAGAAAGATGTTTATTGACTTGTGCACTTTCACCCACCCTCCCCTTTTTCAAACAGTCACCTGCATCAGCCCCACCGAGTTTGTGGCTTGGTAATGATGAATATGTGGCAACCACCGTGTCAAGATCATGATTATGGTAGGTGATGTGGGTCCCTTGAAAGCTATCATTTGCCTTTTCATCCTCCCTTGCACGGCCACTGATGTCTTATTTCCAAATTTGAACTTGGGATTGTGACTGAGACAGGTGCCTGATATGCCAAAGTTATCTGAAATCCATGTTGTGTAGTCAATGGGTCAAGGACTGAAGTAAAATTATATAGCTTTTGTGAATATCTCAGTGCCTTATGGGTATGCTATGAACTGTGTGTGTGTTTAACAGTCGCTTCGGCAAGTTTGTGGAGATCCAGTTCAACAACGGGAAAATATCTGGCGCGGCTGTGAGGACATATTTATTGGAAAGGTCGCGTGTCACACAGATATCCACTCCGGAGCGAAACTATCATTGCTTCTATCAGCTTGTTGCTGGTGCATCACATGAGGTATTCAAGTGTGTGTGGTAGACGACATTGTGGTTTGCATTCCTCAACGTGCCTGCAGTGGCCTGCAGGTTCCTTCTCATCTGCCATGCTGTGATGTTCTTAAGGAATCACCTCTGGATCCAGCTAGTGTGGGCCTCAAATTTCGTGTGTGGGCGTGGGTGTTCTGAACACTGAAAAAGTGATTCAGGAGAAATGATAATCTTCTCTAATGTCCTTCTACCTGGAAAGTTGTATAGCACAAGTTTTGACCCGGATGTTGTCATCACGTCCAGATACAGATCATGCATGCATGTGGCCACTTTTTCATCCAGATTCAATCAGAGTAGGCTGCAGTGAACTTTTCCATTTCCCTGAAATGGGCCAACATAATGTACCTGTTAGCTCTAAACGGAGATCCCAAGAAATGGATGCGTTCATTGAGGGCATGGCTGCGAACTGAATATCTGCAACAAGATGCAGACTGTCCGGATCCAACTGTCCAGGTCTGGCACCTGGTTCTCAACGTCCGGTTTCAGGCCCCTAGATCAAAACAATAAAAAAATGGAGCGGGGTGCATGGGAGGTTTGTTTTGGTCCCAGGCGGACCCCCAAAAATGTGTGGGCAATTTTGTTGCCCGTTTTGGTGTACTGTATGGGGGCTGTTGGACCTCATGTGCAGGTTGGTCTGCGGATCAGGAAATTCTTCCATGCAAAGTCACTTGCCGCCTCATCTTCAGTGTCTTATCATCATGAGTGCCATCGTCACCAGCAAGAAGTGGGAGGAGGAGGAGGAGGAGGACAATGAAGAAGACCTACCTTCCATTGTTGGTGCTCTTCTGCTGGTTGCCGCTGTCTGTGGTTCTCTTGGCATCGACTCTTTGTCTGCAACAACTCGGCATGTGCATACAGGTTAGTGCCCTTAGCCTTTCCTCCCTCCCTCTCTCTCTCTCTCTCCCTCTCTCCCTTGTATGGATTGTCCACCTCCCTCCCTCGCTCCCTGCCTCCGTCCCTCGCGCTCACTCTCCCCGAACCTCAACCTCACCCCTCTTTGGGTGAAGTAAGCTTTTCATCTCTGATCACGTCGATGGATGTGGTTTGTACTCGTTTCGTTGCCTGGTCCACTGCCGGCCGATCACGGGCATCCATTGTCTCGTTGTTATGTTACCCGGTCCATTACCTGGATCACTGCGGCAAAGGGGGGGGGGGGGTCTTTTTCTTTTGTGTCGAGTATTCGCGATAGTTGCACCCTTTCCTGTCAGCTTTCTGCTCCGTACCCTGCCGAGACCTCTTCGCCACTTCTCGATATCTCTTCTTCCCTCTCTCCAACCTTCCCTTCTATTTCTCTTCCTCGCTTTCTGGGGTTGGTGCACCACACCTCCTCTCGTCTCTCCCGCTTCCCCCGATTGCTGTGGTTGTGAACTGCTCAAAGTTTGTTCCCATACTTCAAGAACCTTCCTGATGCTATACCATTTGTGATTGAATGGACCTGGATGCATCAAACGGTGTTTCTGTCCAATCTGAGCAATAGTTGAGCCATCGCCATCATTCTATCTCCTTCCTTCCCTCTCTCCTTCTCTCCCGCTTCCCCCGACCGCTGTGGTTGTGAACTGCTCAAAGGTTGTTCCCATACTTCAAGAACCTTCCTGATGCTATACCATTTGTGATTGAATGGACCTGGATGCATCAAACGGTGTTTGTCTGTCCAATCTGAGCAATAGTCATACCTTTTGCCTGTCAGCTTTCTGCTCCCTGTCCTGCCGAGCCATCGCCATCACTCCATCTCCTTCCTCCCCTCTCTCCCCCCCCCCCCCCCCCCCCCCCCCCCCCCCCCCTCCCTTCTCCTCTCTCTCACTCACTCTCTCCCTCTCTGGGGTTGGTGCACAACACCTCTCTCGCTATGCCTGTTGTGAAGGAATGGACCTGGATGGAACAAACGTAGCAGAGTGGATTTGGAATGGAATGGAACAGAATGGGATTAGATTAATGGAATGCTGAGGAACAGCACTGAAGGGAACGGAATGGAATGGGATGTTGGCCCCCTTATTGTGAGACACAGAACATAAGGCAGATGGCTGACTTTCCACATTGATTTGATTCATCTGTGGATATAATGTGATGCCAAAACAGAAAAAGACAAGTACATAGCAAGGAAGCTCATTCAGACCGCTTCACAACGAATGGCTGTGCCGAGGTGGCGATCCACGGGCACCAGCTTGAGATTGTGTGGCAGAGTTGGAGAGAGACGCCCTGCAATCGAGATCCGCGCCCTGGGTGCACTCGATAATTCCTTGCATCATAGTAGTGACTGCATCTTGAAATCCGTATTGTCAACACTCTGCAGCGTCTATATAAGCAATCTGAAATAACCATTCATTTATTTCGTTTTTCATTTTGTATGTTTGATATACCCTTCAAGTTCATAAATCTTACGAATATGCGCTACCGGGATCGGCCTCCCTGGGTAATGAGGTCTACAGATCCGCCATAGTAGGCAGGGAGGGAAACTGACCCAGCCAGGAACTGAAGGGCGGCAGTCGTGAATCGATGGCCGAGGGTGTGTGTTACGGACTCCGCCAGGGCTCTATCCCTGGTCTATCTTTTTACTGTTTCGGCTGCATCCCGTTTTCGGCCTGGCACCCTTTTTCCAAACCCCTCCTTTGGTACCATAGGATTTTGGACAACTGACGCCATGCTGCAATTCGGGCGCCACTTTCAAATACCGCATTTTTCAGTTCTGCCCTCGGGGCCTTTGCAGAAATGCCCCTGGTACCGTACGTGTCACGGGTACTTATACCGGCTCCCCGTACGGTAAGGGGACCAGTAGGCTCCCCGTATGGTACCAGTCTTGTACCAGTTTCCAGCTGCTGTACTCGTACTCCGTGTGACTTGCCGTTTCGGCATTTGGGAATCCAAGACTTCGACTTTGTGCCCTTGCCACTGTGTCTGAGTCCGACCCTCAGTCGTGTCGAGTGAGTGAGTGTGTGTGTGTGCTCTCCCTCTCTCCCTCTCTCCCTCTCTCCCTCGGCTCTCCCTCAGCCTCGCGTGCGTTACACTGGTATCGGAGCGGTTCGAACCTGCCTGACCCACCCTGCTTCGTCGTCACCACCTGGCCATCATCAGCTTCATCGTCGTGAGCGTCGTCGTAGTGCCACGTCATCGTCGTGATCATCGCCGTCGTGCCACGTCATCATCGTCATCGTCGCGATCGTCGTCATCGTGCCACGTCATCATCGTCACCGCCGTGATGGTCGTCGCCGTGCCACGCTGCCATCGCCATGCCCGTCGTCCTCGTCTCCGCGCCGTGCCATCCTCGTCATCGTCGTTGCTACCTCCACGCAGATAAGTAATCGACGACAATTTTCTTTTTTCTTTTTTTTCTTATGTTCTTCTTCTTCTTTCTCTTCATTCTTCTTCTTCTTCTTCTTCTTCTTCTTCTTCTTCCCCTTATCTTCCTCTCCTTCTTT